CCATGCCCCTCTCACTGCCTCCTTTCTGGAATAAAGAATTCAGCAACTGTCAGTCTTCTTCAGGAGCCATTTCAGAGATAATGGAACAGCCTGATAATTCCAACAATGCCTCAGAAACCTCAAACCTCATTCCATGTTTTATGATTGGGCTGCATGCAATTAAAATTAGAGAGACCGATAGATCAGCAGTGCTGGGCTAAGCCATTTTTACACCGTGTACTCATCCAGGAACAGGCTGGTAACTGATTTCTTTATTAAGTAAATTTTATCTCTACCAATAAAACCGAACCTTCCAGTTAGGATGGGAGAGAAGAACAACTCCACACAAGCATTGAAACTTTCCAGATAATGTGATTTCATTTTGTTGTCATTGGCTCTAAATTTTCCTCTTATGCTGCAGTCAATATTTATAACATTAGCAAATGAAAAGGAATTTGATGGCCTGGCTTTGATGAGAAACTTTGCCTTTAATAACTCCTTTTTTTTTTTTACTGCATTCCTGCTCTGCTCTGGCTAAGGAAAAGCCATATTCCTTCCTTCCCACCAAGGTGGAAGGGGGATCCTGTTTCCATCTCTATATGAGAAGAGCACCTTGACAACAATGTAGGCATGGAAGGGAGAGAAGAAGAAAACATCCCTTTGGGAGTGATCCCCTTGTACAACACACCTACCTCACAGGGGTGCTTTGTCGCTGTTTGCAGTTTAAATTTCTAAGAGAAAGGACAATCTGAAAAGATTCCCAACTATAACATTGAAAACAGGAGCGGCCATGGGCATATCAACAGTCTGACTGGGGCACCAGGGATTTCCACACTGATGAAGAAGGAACATTTCAATGCAGGGTGAGAGAGAAGCTTTGGGCTATTTTTCAGAGCTTGAAGAACTTCTCAAGGAGTTATAAACACTCATTTTCCTTCTAGGCCTTGAATTACTGTCAGAACATATCAATGAACTTGGAACAGCATTCCCTGTCCAGAGATCATGAGCACAAAGGCACTTTGGTCTAATGCATAGGATTGTACAATTCCAGAGTGGTTTGGGTTGGAAGGACCTTAAAATCATCCCGTCCCACCCCCTGCCATGGGCAGGGACACCTCCCACTATCCCAGGTCGTGGCAACCTGGCCTTGGACACTTCCAGGGATGGGGCAGCCAAAGCTTCTCTGGGCGACCTGTGCCAGGGCCTCCCCACCCTCACAGCCAAGAATTCCTTCCCTAAAGTCTTACTGAATCTTTACTGAATCCCTGATTGGAAGTTTTCCTGGAGTAGATAAAGCTGTACCTTATAAACCTGTTCCTCTCCACAGCCCCCTGAGAGCCACAAACTTCCAACTGACTGATACAATTTCTGACCTGTCATAAGCTTTAAAATAGAGAAGATTCAGGAAGTGGCAAATTTGACAGTGTGAGGAATTTGAGTGTATTAGTCACATTGGATTAAGAACAAGTAGTTGAAGAAAAGATTAAATGTAGCATCAAAATATATTAGAATCTTGTCAGACATTCCTTATAGGCTTAGTTATGAGTTCAGAGGCAAAGTGTTGGGGAGAGTTAAATGTAATAAAACTGGAGGAAGAACTCCCCTTGCACCAATGCAAACTGGTGGAAATTTGTATTCGCAGGCCTTTGCATATGTATATGTGTGCATATACACATTATATATAGCTTTTCCAGTTGACATAAGACTTAAGAAGCAGTGTATAAAAATATGAAAGGAAAGTTTTATGAAATGCAGAAGACAGAAAACTTCAGTCAGTAAGGAAAAAAGACCTTGGGGATGAAATATAAATAAGGGGTAACCATGTCGGTAAAAGTCTCTGTTGGGATTGTTCTTTACCTTCCACTGCTATCCAGAAATACAGGGAGATTGCCAAAAAATAAACCCAAAGAAAAGATCTGAAGTTATATCTACAGAGGGTATAACTGCTGAAAACCAGGCTTCTGCTCCCTTGAAAAGGAAGTTACACGTCCAGCTCAGTGTCCAGGTAACAAAGCCCAAGTTTTCCTCCAGACTAGCTGAGAAATGTCCCATTTTTGGTTTAAAGCACAAGGAAGTCCTAGCTGTGTTTCCAGCGGGCCTGGATTGTAGTAAAGATGCCAAGTGCTTTTTCTCCACCCCATCGATCTGCCCTAGAAAAGAACCAACTGCAATTGTAATTCCTCCCTCCAGCATGAGCAGCTGCACTGCCCTCATCCCTTTGGGATCCTCTGGAAGCAGGAGGTGGAACAGGCACAGGTCACTCATTTGTTGGGGAGAGGAAAGCAAGGGATGTGAAGCTATTCTCCAGGGAGCACTGCACTGGACACCAAAGGATTCAGGGATGTGTTTTCATGCACACCAACATGAAAGTTGCTTTCCTGATGTGATATCCTGATTTATATCCTCTCTGGTCCAGAGGAGCTTCATTAAGAAGTTGCCAAGGATCAACATTTTGACTGTTTCAGCCTTTAAGTGCCAAAACTGGTTCATTTTCTGCAAGCTGAGGGAAGGAGAGTCACTCTGTAGGCAGCTGTCACTTGTTCCAGGACTGTTTGAGTCATATTTGGGTGTGCAGTGACACACTCCCCTGTACTTTCACACTAACTGGACACATCGGGTCTCTTGGCTTCATTGTGGCAATCCCTCTGCTTCCCAAATCCCTTCCATCTTTAGGATGGAACTTCTTTTGGGCAGGATGGAGCTTCTTTTGGGCAGGATGCTTCTGTAAGCAAAGGAATGAGGTAGCCTACTTTCCAAAGCTAATTTCTTTCTCCAAGTGTGGACATGAGGAAGGTGGCAGAGGGTGGGATGTGACTTCAAAGCAGATGGAAATGCAGAAGAACAGTTGCTTAGCACCTATAAAAGTCAGGCCCACTTCTTCACAAGAGATGTGTGTATTTAGGAATCCATATTTAGCAATCTGCATTTGAATTTTGGCCTCTAAATAACCTAAACCCATCACAGCTCTTTTGGAATGTGTAGATGATTAAATAAACAATGAGATTAAAAGTCATAGGGATCCTGCTGCGGTCCTGGCACCAACCAGCTCCTTGGCACTCGGGAACAGCTTTTGCATTACCTTGGGAGCTTTGCCATCTATTAATGAATGACAGGGAACACAAAAAGGTGCTGTAAAAACTAAATTCCACAATGATTCCTCAGCCAGTGGGACAATAGGGATCAGCCAGCAGCCTTTGTCTGAGCAGGAGATGCAAATTAAAGATTGGAGTCAGAGGCAATTATTCAACCTGGACTATTTCTGTGGGCACGGGAATGTTTGAGAACTGGTCTGTAGCATCTTTTTCTCTGGGAATAAATCGATACAACACGGCAAGACAGAGACAAAGCATCTCAGAAATGTATTTTTAAAAAGGCTGTAGAAATGCTCGACAGGCAGGGCGAATGTACTCCAAAGCACTTGGAAGCTGAAAATATTTCCTTCACATTCTACTCCTTACTCGATTAGGAAAACTCGCCCGATAAAAGGAGCACGAAAGTACCCTGTAATGACACAGATAAAGGAAGAAAACAGAAGCGTTTCATTCCCATGAGCATCTCCTGCCTTTGTCTCAGCCTGCTCTTTAAACCCGCTTTATGCCGACACTATTAATGTGGGTATCTGTGACCAACTCCGGGTTTTTATGCTAGTGACCTGATTCCGCACTAACACGCTCCTCCCAGCTCGGTGAAGCTCCCCATGTGATCCGTTCTTCCCCCTAAATAAAGTTGACAAATCTGGCTGTGCTCAGAGTGCTGCCGAGGGGGTGCGGAGCTCTTCCCCCTTCCGCAGCTGCGGCACCGCCGCCGCACCGGGGCCGCGCCGGGCCGGGCTCGGGACTCCAGCACGGCGGGGCTCGGGGCTCCCAGCACCGCTGCCCCCTCTGGAGGAGCCCAGCGAGCCGAGCAGGATGCGGCCGGAGCAGGTGAGAGTGCGTGTATGCTGCGATGGATCCTTTGTGCGGCTCGCTGGGAACTGGAGGAGGGAGGGGGCAGCGGGGGCAATTTTTTAATGGGCAAAGCCCGAAGGTTTGTTCCCTTCCCCGTTGCCCCTTTCCCAAGGGATGTGCCTGATGAGCCGATTCCCAGCAAAGCCCGTTTTCCCCGACTACGGGCAGCGCCTGCGGCAGCGGGGCCACCCGGGCCGGGCACGGGGGAGATCGGGAATGCTCCGCTGCGTCCTGCGGTGCTGCTCCGGCCCCCGCAGCCCCCCGGACGGGCACTCGGGCGTACCCAGCACACGGCGCTGGGGCTGGCAGGGCACGGCACTGCACGGTACCAGCTTACGGGCTTGGTACGGCACGGCACGGCACTGCTCAGTGTGGTACCAGCGTGCAGGACCGGCACAGCACCGTGATACCCGAGTGCAGGGCTGGCACAGCATGGCACAGCGACAGCCCCGGGCCAGGCTGGCACAGCACGGTACCAGTCTACGGGCTGGCACGGCACGGCACCGGGCAATGTGGTATCTGTGTACAGGCTGGCACGGTACGGCACGGCACAGCGATAGCCCCGCGCCAGGCTGGCACAGCGCGGTGCCAGTGCACGGGCTGGCATGGCATGGCACGGAGCGGTACCGGTGTACAGGACTGGCACTGCACTGTACAGCACAGTACCTGGCACAGCACAGCATCGTGACACCCATGTGCGAGGCTGTCACGACACGGTACACTGCACATTGAGGTACCAGTGTGCCAGACTGGCACTATCCCTGAGCAGATTCCAGGGCTGGCCTGCCCATCCCGCTGTCCCCCAGCCTGGCTCAGGGCCACTCGTGGCCCCCCCGGGTGTCCCGCTCTAGTCCCAGGTGTGACCCCCTCCCTCCCCTGGGTGCAGCTTCCCACAACTCCTTCCTACAGACCCACATCATCCTCCTCCTGGCACAAAGGTGTCCCTGGAACCACCTTCCCCCTCCTCTCATGGGATGTACATCCTCCTCTCCATCCCCACCGGGGCTCCAGGGACCCCCCATTCCTTCCCATCCATCCCACACCTTGTCCTGCTCCCTGTGTTTCCTGAACTCCTCACTCTCCTAAGAGATGATGCCCCCATCCCGTGCACTCCCAGGCAGGGTTCAGCAGTGCCCTGGGATCTCTCACACATTAACTGATCCCAAAGGCATTTCACTGAACTTTTCCCATTTGGAATGTGATTTGGAGCTAAAAGGAAAGTCTCTGCAGCAAGCACTGACTGCTTAAAGTCTTCATTCCCTTCTCTCTCCCTTAGCTATCCTTGAGCCTCTGTGCTGGGATCAGTTCATTGCACAACAGTTCAGCCACACAGAGCCCAGTACTGGCTTCAGACTGGGACAGGAGGGCAGTGAGGAGAAGGTGCTTCCTTGCTCTCCTACACCTCTCAAATCACAAGGAGACTATTCCCAGATCGTGCTGTGAGAAAAGAAATAAGATTTGATTCCAGAAATGTACAGACACAAAGTAGCTACCTCTAAACTGACATTCATCACTCCCCCTCCCAGCCCCTGCTCCCTCCCACCCTTTCACTTATTATTTTCCTTGCATAATTTGAAAGGTGAAAATCCCTGAATACTGAATATATGGCAGTTCTAGACTGTGTCTGTTCATCAGGAACAGCCACAGTGGCTGCAAGGAGAGAGTTTTCTTTTAAAATGAGTTGGGTGAAAAACTTGAATGTCCAAACAATCTTTTGCTCTTTGGCCTATTAAAAAAAATGTGTTATTCCTGCAGGAGTTTCAATCTTGGCAGATTTTAGATGCAAGAGAAAGGCTGCAGAGCCTCCCATTTATAACTGCTTTCCTTGCTTGTGGAGGGAAGGAGAAATAGGAAGAGGAGAGATTAGATAGGGAGGGGGACACAAAACCAGATCTAATTTGTTCATCCCTATCACAATCAGCCCAGAATTAGAACCCTCCTTCACCTGCACAGAAAATGAGAATAAAGAGGCCATTGATCCTATTTTAGGGGGGGTCTTAGGTTTTAGGTTTGTTCATTTGAATTCAGCTCTAAACAGCTTTCAGTTTTCATTTACCCTGTAACTCAAGGGAACAATCAAACATCCACCTGTACCTGCACTGGCAAATCCTTGTTGTGGCTCCAGAAAACTAACCAGAGCATTGGGGCAAATTGAGCTTAAAAACAGGTAAATGGGGAAAAATCACTGAGCAGGTTTAAGTTCAGTGTAGGCTTGGGAACTGCTCACTCCAGGGCTTTTATTTACACAGAATAACATTTCAAATACAGACCAAGAGAAAAATTCCCAGGTTGCCTCTCTGTGATCACAGGATGCAACTGCCCCTGATTTTGGAAGGTGTATGGGAAGAACAGCATAAAAAATAAAGAATATGAACTAAATCAGAAAAAAGACCAGTTTCAAAAGGAGAAAGAATCCCCATTTCACAGGGGACTTTTTTTAGCTGATGATCTAAGCCTGTTCCTTGAGCAGGAACGGCTTATCAGGAAAATCCTCCCTCCAAAAAGAGGAATGGTGGTAATGCTTTGAGAAAAACAATCTCACCCGAGTTTTTAAAAGGCAGTGAAGCCTATTTCCAGGTGAACACCATGAAGGAACAGATCTGCTCAACTGCTTAGAGAGTAGCACTTTGATCCAGCACTGTTTCCCAAGTTTCAAAGGGAAAAAAATCCAAACCCTTTCCTAAATGTAAGCCTGTGAAAGGAATAAGCTTCAGTGTCTCTTCCTCACATGTTTCTGTGCATGGCTAAGCCTCAGTCCACACACCTATGGGGAGCACTGAACAAAAGGTATCCTAAAAACATCATCCAAGGATTTCAATGATCAGGATAAGAAAATTCCAGGACAATATACTTTAACTATATAGACAAGAAGGCTAAAACATGGATCACAAGTGCCTTTTAGTGACACTGGTTTAGGGAGGGAATTCATCAGGTGTTCCGTCTATGACTGATGTGCAATTTGGTCCTGGTAAAAGGCAGCAGCAACTTCCATAAGGATTTGGGCTTTGTACAGCCCAAAGATCTGCCAAAATATGCAGGCAGGCTGTAATCACACCTCAAAAAAGCTGCTCTGTTAATCAATCACAGTTACACTAAATTAACATGTCATACTACCATAAGTCACCAATAAAACCAGAGGGATGAATATCAGCTTCAGAGAGAGGCCAAATCTAAACACAATACTGTTGCTTCAATGAATTTATGCTTCAGGGATTAATGAATTAAAATTAAAACCTTAAAACCAGAATTAGCTCCATGTGGGTCCTCTGTAAAGTTAATGCCCAGGAAAACAGTCCCTTCTGTTTCTGGCCCACAGGAGCTCTGCTGGAACCCAAAAGCAGATTCCTGAGCAGTGGCACATCCTGAAACTTCCCCCTGAATCCTAGGAGCTGTTTTGCTCAGTATCTTTCCAGGCAGAGGGAAGATGGGATCAGGTTCTGCTCTACAATTACTTGGTTTTCTCAAACATCAAGAAATCCCTCGGAGTTCTCCGAGCCCAGAGCAGCTTCAAGGAAAATCAGGATCCCCTCAGATATTGTTCCTTTCATAGGAACTGGACTTTCTGTTGGCTCCTGGCTCTGGACAGTGCTGGGATGAGTTCTCACAAGCGCTTCCAAAACTGGGAGCCTTTTTTCTCTTCTTGCAGAAGGAAACCTCAAGTGTAATGAAGACAGCACAGGCTGAACAACTGCTAAGAGCAGAGTCCTCTTGTTCACAGGATAAAACTAGTCTAAAGTGAGAGACTGGGGCTAGAACTTTGTACACTTCATTAAACGATTAATTGACTTGCTTAATCCTTTATCTAAGATGCCAGTTATAGCACTGGATGTAATCACAAGGGGCTTATGCAAATTCCATTTCCAAGGATGACCACATGTGAAAATCTAATACAGGTAATTTTTCCTCTTTTATTTTGGGATTAACAATAGAGAAGAAAAAGGCATAAAGAGGTTTTTTGATTTGAAGACTTTCCAGATAAATCTATGGTGTTTAACACCTACAAACCTGGTGACACGGCAAATATCACTGAAGTGTCTTTCTGGAACAAGCCATACTCCAAAGGATAGAGATTCTACAAGGAAGGAGGAAGCCTGGCTGAAAGATTTCCACCTTAAGATTTCAAAAAACACTTTAAGTAGCCAAAAAAAAATATTTCTGTGTAAATAGGTACATATTTAAAACACTCCTAAACCCTTTGTTCTTAACATGGGGGTTTATAGAAGATGCAGCAAGGCTAAAAATCTCACTACATGTTTTTCAAAGCCTTTTCTCCTTCTTCCATTCCTTCCTCCTCTCCTTCCCTCCTCCTTGTCCCCACTCCCATTTGTTCCCACTCCCACTTGTTCCCACTCCCACTCTGCCTTTTGTCTGCTGCTCCACAGTTCTGGAGGAGGAGGAAGAGCCATTTACATTCCAGGTTTCCAGCATGATGGAGACCCTTCATCCAAAGGTTTTTCACATCAAAAAGATGCAAATTCAGAGAAAAGGAGCCACATTCTTCTCTAATGCAATTAAAATGGAAGAGATAATTTGAAAGGCAGCAGGGAGATTTACAAGAAAGCTGAAGGCAAAAGGAAAGCAAGGCTGAAACTGTATTAAAAAATCAATATATATTTAGGGTTATATAAATAGTAGAAGTAATTCAGCATTGGCACAGAGAATGTGGGGATGAGAACACAAGAGAGACACACAGGGACAGAAAACAAGACTCTCCTGCTACTGATATCAAAGATATTTGATTATATTAACTCACAAGGAGCAGGTTTATAGTTTCAGGTCAGTCACCTTAACTTTGGGAAAATGTTTTTGTGTTGCTCTGAGAAAGAATACTGTACCTTTTTCTCACTTGCTGCTGGTTTATCAACCTCTATGGTCCTTATCAACCATCTTTAATCTCCAGCATCAGGAAGCCAAAGGAAGACTGAGTTCCTCAAAGGTCAGGGATGAGAAATCAGCTTCCCACTGACAAGGAAGGTGCAGGAGCTCATGTGATTCCTGGCCTTCATCCTTCTGATGAAGCTGAAGATTCCAGACATCACCAAACTTGCTCCTTCCTTTGAAACACAGAATCAGAAAGCAGAGTTATCCCAACAAAATAAACCCCCAAACCACGTCCAATTAAAACTTCCTACAAGTCTGATCTCCCACATGTTATTTTGACTTAATTTTTTTTATGGATCCAATGCAAATCATCAGTAGTCTCTTTAATACAACATCGATAACATCATTACTGCCAAGGCTCTGGCAAACAGAAGCAAGGGCTGCCCTTATGAAAAGGGAGGAATCTCAGTGAAATCAAAAAGCTGTTGATGAACATTGTTATCCCTTTTCAGTAATTCAGGTTTTTGACAGTTGCCAATAACCTGAATTAATCTTGAGACACTGATTTTTGTGACTGTAATTTGCTTTGTTCCTCTCACATAAATTGCATCCAACCCACTCTTACTTTTCCATCCTCAAAAACTACAAAAAACTCCTTAAAAATCTGTTTCTCTCTCCTTTGTCAGAGTATTCAGAGGCACAGACGTCAAGCCTGGAGAATAAAAGGAAAGACAATGCCTGTCCTAAGGATATTAGAAAACAAGGAGCAGGTTTTGTCCTCCCCACCTTATACTGAGTTGTACTAAAACAAAAAGACATGGAAACAGGAGCCAGGGTAGGGAAGTCCATCCCTAGGCAAGGACATGTTCTACATCAAGAGTCTGAGTTTATATAAGTATCAAACTAAAACATCACTATTTCATTAAAAGGTTTAAAAATATAACTTACAGATTTTCTAATGTGCTTTCACAACAAGTTTATTCTAACAAATCGGTATTTCCAGACCAAAAAAAAAAAAAATAAAAATCACTCCCATTATTTTTATCAATACCTGACTCTTTCTAACATATTTTATTAAACATTAATGGGAATTAAATGTGCACAGGCCTGAAATCCTGGTTTGCATGTTTGCAATGCTCAGGCCAAATACACTGAAGAATTATGACTCACACAAAACCAACAAAACAAGGGAAGAATTATTTATTCTCTGCTACTTGAATTAAATCAGAGCATGGACAAGGAGGGGGGGTGGGTTAAGGGAAAGTTTCCTTTTCTTTGCACATCCTCTGTTTGAACTTCCTGAAGTTCCTCTGTGTCCACCTCTCCAGCTCTGGAATCACAATGACCTGGATTATCAGCCAGTATTGTCCCTGCATGATCCCTTTCCATGTTGGAGTTGTGTTAGGATTTCCTTGTTCACCCAAACAGCCCTTCCTCTTCCAACTGACACTCAGGTATGTTGACTCCCAGGAAAAAGCAAGAGTTCTCCCATAAAACTTCCTTCTTGGCACTTACAGACACACGAGGTGGGTCCCTGCAGCCCCAGTTTGCAGTTTTTGAGGTTTCTCTCACCCTTCTTGCCATCCTGGGTCCCCGATCTGTGTCCAAGCAGCAGGAAGGAGCATTCTGTGCCCTCAGGAAGCAAAGGCAGAGTGGAAGGTGGTGGTGGCACCCCACGGTTTGTCACAGCTGCAGCAGAGCCATCAACAGAGTCCTCACACACTGTTTTGAAGGGATTTCTCCATAAAAGCAGCTTCTACCCCAAAATGCAGTGGGAGCACAAGCAGAACATTGCAGATTTAAGATTTTAAAAGCATTCTTGTTTTGATTTTGAAAAGCCACATATCTGAACTGACGGAAAAATGGAGTTACAGATGACATCCCTGCACCTTCCTGAGCAGTCCAGTCCAGCACCAGCTGCCTAAAGACTTTAAATCCTTCATATTTTATTTTCCCCTCAGGAATCTGATAGCTGTGGATACAGATGAAATGAGATACAGGCTCAGGCAAGTATGACAAGATCTGATTTCTCTTAGCACTGAGACATTCCACCCTCCTGCACTTCCATGTGGGTGGTGGACACTTGGCTGCTCCATAAATCAGAGGGGGCATTTCTCAGTTTCTCAAGTTCTTTTATTGCAGTTTCTTTCTTTAGGCTACTTGAGAAAGATGTTGAATATGTAGCCCAGGAACACTAAAATATTCTGCTGTCACCCCCTCCTGATCTATGACTTGCCAGCAGTGCAACATGTAGACATTCATCAAAGATGTGCCACGTTGCACTTGGTCCCTTATGTGAAATGAACTTTCAATCAGCTTCACAAACACCTCAATTTACAGTAAAATGTGATTTTCAAACTTTCTGTAAAATCCACAATTATTTCTGTCTCTGGGAACATATTGTTCCAAACTGGCAAGAACTGCTATTTACATCCTTTAACATCAACAGAGCGCTAATCTACATAAACAGTCATTATTGCTAACAAGAATGAGTTGTTAATTAGTAAGAGGGACCCTCAGTTCTCTGCTAGCCTAAGTAGGATGAAACTCACATTTCTATAAAGAGGGGGAATTACAATTGCACTCCATCAGAGTATCACTGAACAAACATTTCCACTCCCAAGGTATCTGAAACCTAATTTTGGCCTCCAAGCATTTGGGAGGAGGGTAGAGGGGGTTCAGAGCAAGCTGTTATTTGAAATAAATAGGCCTGAACGTGTTTAGAGCTCCTCAAAGTAAAATATCCTGGGGCCAAAGACTGAGTGGAAGCAAGAATGAAGAGCAGCCCAGCCTTGTTCCTCAGATTTGTCTGAAACGGGATTTGGATGTGGGGAGGGAAGGGGGAGGGCAGAGCAGCCCTTGAGAACTGCTCAGATGAGGAAATATTTTGGATTCATCAAACACAGCACGTATCAAAGCCAAATGGCTTAAATGCGTTTGAAATTCCAGCAGAATTAGGAAAGAGGAGGGGTTTTAAATTCTAAATTAAAGCTCAGTGCCTGTAGGGGAGCTCTTCAATAATCCTGTGTAATTTTTCACCCAGGGCCTTTTTCCAGGCTCCAGATTTGCAGTGAGGGGACCTCCCCAAGTCCAGGATAACGAGGACAAAAACCCCCAATCCAACCCAATCCCTCTCCAGACAATCCCTGTCTGAGAGCAGATATCAGAGAGGAGGGGAAATAAAACCTCTTCGTGAGAGCTCCTGTTTTCAGCTGATTTTGTTCACGTGTGTGGTGTGAGCAAACACAAGTCACAAAATCTGTCTTTGATTTCACCCTCTTTTGGGAATATCTGGGAGAAGAAAAGAAACACCTCTCAGTGCAACAATTCCTAAGATATAAAGTCCACTTGTTGCAGTGACTTAAGCCCAAGGATAAGCTCTACCACCACAATGTTACTGGAATATTGATTTGATTTTCTCCAGTTCTCTCCTGTAGAACACAAAGAATCCCAAACTGGCACTAGGCTGAGCTTTCTTCTGACCCTCGGTGAAGAAGACAACACATTCCTGACCTCCTGACTTGGGATATAGAGGAGCTGCGCTATAAACTTTGTGCCACAGGCTGTTACTCCTGCCATCCCTGCCTTCCAAAACAAAGAACACTTTTGATCTCACCTATGCCTGGAGAACCTGAGGAGAAAACCATTGCCTGGATGACACAGGTGCCAAGGGAATCGTAGTTCTTGCTTCACTGGGAATTTTGAGAACACCTCCTGAATCCAAATGAGGCCCAAGTTCACGGAGGTCCCTGGACCTACACTTTCGGCCTCACCAGACTATGAAAACTTTGCTAAATTAAATACAACGAGGGACACTGAAAGTGAGCAGCTGGAGGGGTCCCTGTCGTCCACCATCGCGCTGATCGTCGTGCTGACCATCATCTTCTCCTTGGTAACGACATCCCTAATAACCTACTGCTTCCACAAGTGGAAACTTAGAGGGAAAAGACTGCAGAAAGCACAAGAGGAGTATCAGAAAGACCACGAAAAGAGCATTTGCCAAAGCACACCTGGACTTGTTTCATAAAAAAAAAAAAATGGAAAAAAAGGATCCACCACAAATAACTCTTGAATTACCTGGAAATGAAAATAATGAAAGAACTGCAACCATGAGATTTCCAAGCAAACACATCCTTGTTTTATCTAATTTCTAAGAGTTGTTAGCAGTTTGGAGATTTCCTACAGCTTTATTATACATATATATATTTATATAATTAACCTCATTTGTGCAAAGTAAAACATACACAATCATTTATTTCTAATCTCTTTTGTCATTCTAATCTCTCCACAACCTCTCTGAGCAACCTGTGGCAGTGATTCTTGGCTGTGAGGGTGGGGAGGCCCTGGCACAGGTCGCCCAGAGAAACTGTGGCTGGCCCATCCCTGGAAGTGTCCAAGGCCAGGTTGGAGCAACCTGGGCTAGTGGAAGGTGTCCCTGCTCAAGGCAGGGGGTGGCAGTGGATGAGCTTTAAGGTCCTGCCCAACTCTAACCATTATTGTCTGTATTACTAAACCAGTAAATTCAAATCTGCTGCTCAGACTCTTTTAAAAATCCACTGGAAGGTAAAAAGTCAGATTTTGGTCAGTGCAAACCAACTGATCCAAACCAGTGGAGTTATGTTGTCTTGCACTGATGTAACCATGGGTTGAAGGAGTTGAAATCCAACTAGAGTCTTCAGTAAATCCGATTCCCAGATGCTCAGAGCAGCAGCCTGGTCCTGAAGAACTGCTCGTGTCTTCAGTGACACTCCAAGCAGGACCAAACCTGAAATTTAAGTTAGGATTTCCTGAGGTGCTCGTGGCATTCCAGCCACAAGTGGATCAAGGACATCCAACACTAGTGGAACCCAACTTCCCAAGGGCAGGGCAAGCCCACCACCCTTTTTTTAACTAGGCTTCTAATTCTTTTTAAACCAACCTGGTTGGTTTAAAAAGTGTGTTTCTATTTGCAGAGCCTGTAATATCATGTCACAGAGAAATTACAGATTTATTGTGTAGCATCTCTAAGTCATATTTTCTAACAAAGTGATGGATGTAATATTAATAGATGTAACTGTTTTACAAAGTAGAAACCATGTAAAGTTACCACCAAGCCCCCAGCGCAAGGATATAGCTTGCTTGCAATTACCAGTAATGCTGTATGTATTTTTAAACAAGCTATAATACTGTGATGATGCTGTAAACTTACTTCTGTAGGCAAAAAAAAATGTTCTATTTAAAAATGTCAAGATGAAAGATGTAAATGTTCTGGAAGTGCTACCAACTAAAAATATGAATTTTCACAGAATATTCTAAAGATTCTGTTCCATGCTACAGATATATTTTACAAAGGTATTTATGGGTCTGTGAGAACAGTATTATTTTATTACAAAATAAATACATGAATAAACAAGCAGTGAATATCCATGCCCAGAAGCTGGAAAATGTTTGGTTTATTTTTAAATCCCATGATCAATTCTATAGGTCATTTGAAAGATGGAGAACTTTGTACCTTACTGACATAAGGGATCCACCCCAATACATGTCCCAGCCTCCCCCAACCAGATCCTGTCAGTGCAGCCAAAATTCTGCAGAATCAGTTGTGGAGGAAAAAGGGACATGAAAACAATGCAAATGTAGTATTTGTAAGATTAATCTCTGTTTTGCCCAGATTCCAGCCCATTTTTTAAGCCAGTGGCATTCAGAACCCTAGCCCTGGTGCAGGGAGTGATCTGCACACACACAGTGTCTCACTGAGGGGAGTGAATAAATAAAAATAAAATAAAAACTCATTCTCTGAAAATCTGAGTGGTAATAAAATTACACTTTGAAGAATGCAAGTATATGTGAAAATGCTTTAAAAATACAGGGCTAGAAGCACTCCAGCTCTTGCTGGAGGACCTATGGATGATTTGGGATTACTGCCCTGAAAGCTGCAGTCTGGGGTTTTACCAAAGAAGAACTGGGAACATGAACCCTTCCAGCAGCAAAACCTTGTCCCTGGTGCCACCAGCTTAAAATTCTTTGTCAAGCTCCCAATATGAGTAAAAGGGTTCAGCTCATCTTCTTGGAAGCTGATCAAACTGGCTATGGGAAAAAACAGAATTCAAAAACACCTGGCTCTCCCCACAGCCCAATGCCAGGAGTGGAGATGGGTTTATGGAAGGTCAGGGAGTGACCCCGGGGCAGCCTGCATGTTCCAGTTTTTAGTAAAACTTCAGGGAAAAGGTTTAAGATTAGTGTAAGGGGGTCATGAAGATGGTTGGAGGGCCAGAGAACCTCTCCCGTGAGGAAACGCTGAGAGAGTTGGGATTGTTCAGCCTGGAGAAGGTTCCAGGGAAACATCCCTGTGGCCTTTCAGCACTTGAAGGGGGCCTACAAGATGGGGGCAAAGTTCCCAGCAGGACCTGCTGCCTCAGGACAAGGGATAACGGTTTTAAACTGAAGGAGGGTTGATTTAGATTAGACATAGGAAAGAAGGTTTTTACAATGAGGGTGGTGAGGCCTTGGCACAGGTTGCCCTGAGAAGCTGTGGCTGCCCCATCCCTGGAAGTGTCCAAGGCCAGGTTGGAGCAACCTGGGCTACTGGAAGGTGTCCCTGCCCATGGCAGGGGGTGGGACTGGATGAGCTTTAGAAGGTTCCTTCCAACTCAAACTATTCTATGATCCTAAACTGGACCAGTGGGACTACGACATATTCCCCCAGTAGCTGCAAATCATTATTTAAATATCCCAGAATCCCACACTGGTTTGGGTTGGGAGGGATCTTAAAGCTCAGTCAGTTCCAACCCCTGCCATGGGCAGGGACACCTTCCACTAGACCAGTTCATCTTTGAATATATTTACCTTTGTTCCCAGCTCAGATCCAGGCACCTTAATTACACTAGAACTTCATTCCCATCAAACCTGTGCTAGCAGCCTGTTGGGATGGAGATGGAAGTTTATCCTAGAGGAGATATAAAGAGATGGCCCAAGAGATGGATAGAAATGAGACTAAGGAATGACTGTGCCTGGCAGCCAGGTTAATTTTTTTCATAGCAGAAGCAAGGGCAAATGGAAGTGAAAATTCCCTTGCTGCAGTCCACAGGAAAACTGATTTTAATTTGAAGAATACAACTTTATCCAAAGGGCCAGTTATAAAGCATAACATCACAAAAGTGGTTATCAGCATACACATAATATAAATATGATAAACTTCTATTTGCACAAAGTTCAGAGCAATAAACTCACAACACCAATCATTCAGAAGATTAAATAATGCAACTGTGTGTATCATGAAGGCCAGAAAGACAAAGCTCCAAAGCATTTTTTCCAGGCAGATTGATTTGTTGCTGAGCCACAGCTGCTTTCCATATGAATACCCCTTGAGCCATCACAGTCCTTTTATACCCCAGAAAGCACAAACAAGGCAGCAGATGAATCAATATTCCTTGATCAGAGTTTTAGAGTGTTTCTTTGGATCAAAAGAAAAATCTGCTGCTGGTGGGGGGAGCTCCTGTGAGGGGAAAAAAAGGAAAAGACGTGATCTACTCTCTTTCCCACAACCTCCTTGTCAGAGTTTTTGGATCTCTCAAGCCTCAAAAGCTGTAGGATTATAAAATAAATTATTTAGAGGCCTGGATCATTCATTCCATAGTACATCCCTAAGAGCTGCTACAAGAAAACAGAAGGCAAACACTCAGATCTTGGAGTCATCCTTGAAAAAAAAATGAAACAAGTGTAGGGAGCAGCAGGAAATGCATCCAAGAGGCAGCAGCAAAATCTGCTTTGATTTTTCAGAGGAGTTACCTGAGCTGTGTTTGTAACATTTATGCAAACAAACAAGAGCTGTGCAGTCACTGTGTGTGAGCATGACAGCTATTCTACAGACAAACATTGTCAGACTCCTAACCCAAATAACTCACAGTTCAATGTATTTACAGGAAGGCTCCACGGGAGCTGCAAAGAAATATTTCAGTATCTCTACAAAGCTTCTATCAAAGGAAAAATACCAAAACATATGGATTATATTTTTAAGAAGAGTCCTGGAGCTCCCTTTTTGTGGGTTAAGGGATGAAACCTGTGTTCATTGGCAAAACCAACAAAATTACATTTTCAGAGGATTTGGCTCTTTCACCTGCCAGCCCTTATGAGACTCCACTTGGAACACTGGGTGCCCTTTGCCTCATGTTTGCAGATGGTTCAAGAATTCCAAAGGCTCGGGAGAAACAGGGAGTGCAGAGCAAAGCAAATAAGGAACAGAGATGGAGCATCTAAAAAGGAAAGGTTTGGGAGATTGGAAGGCAGGAACATTTCTGAGGATTACAGAGGAAAAGGAAGAAACCAGGAGAGTTTATTCAATACACAGGTAACCATGTAATCTGCCAACACCTACCTCCATATCCAGCACTTCTCTTCAGGTTTTCCATTGATTTGTGGGAAGGGAAAGCAAGAGGCTAAACAGCCCTCAAGCACTCTTAGAAACACAGAGCACACAGAAGGGAAGAACTACACGGGGAGAAAATACAAACCCAACTTCAACAATGCATTTTCCTTGTCCCAAAATGGGAAAAAATCAAATGCAATGGGAAGGTTTAATCCTCTTTGCTTTGTAACAAAAATTCAGGGAGAGTTCATAGGCAAGGATATCCCTTCAAGATTTCCAGAGGCCTGAATGCACAGAAAGTCAGGAAGCTGGAGACTGATGAGAGGCAGTAACTCTGTGAGTCACACAAGACCACCAGGTCCCAGCAGGAGCAATGGGACGAGCTCTTGCTGCCAGCACTGATCACAAAGGTGGGCTGCAGTTGTGCCCACACATCAGCTTAAGGCTTTTGAGGCCACTGGGAAGATGATTTCATTGTCCAGCCCACTGAGATTCCCAGCACAAAGCCATTTTATTTGCACGTATCCTGAACCCCAGATATATTCCTTCAAAGACAGTGACTTCGTCATCTTGAAAAATTACAACAAATTCTGAAGTATATTCAAAAAAAAAAACCAGGCAAAAATATAATTCAATGTCTTATTCCAGTTTTCATCCATGTTGTTTTTTCTCTCCTGGACACCTCTCCTATACAGATTCCATGATTAATTTATTATAATTTCTCATCCCGTTGCCATCTGCAGTCTTGCTGATTTAATTCTGTTATAGTCTCATTATTTTACTTCTATAAATACCCCATTTCATTTTACTGCTTTCTATAGTTCCTTTGCAACCTGCTTTTTTTCTCCTCCACCTGGGGCCCTCACTTTCAATTTAACATGAGACAGTGGGCAAAGATTGAGCTGAAATGCAGTAATTACACCTCCCTGCCCCGAAAAACGGAATCATTTATTTTTCTTACAGATGGAAGCAGCTGTGAGCTGCTCTGAAATCCCACAGCAATCCTACAAAAAACAATACTTATTACTTGCCAGATTAATAATAGAAACTCTTGGCTTCTGTAATTTGAAAAACATATAGAGATGGATTACAATGTATTACAACATTTGCATTTAGGAAGAATAAAGAGTTGACTCAGAACCCAGAAACAACATGCTGGACATATCTGGTTCCACCTGCAGGAATATTAAACCACCACCCAATCCATCACTGCCAGAGCAGGTTATATCCATATTAGTTGGTATTCCATGTACAACTCTCCCACTTCTTTATGTCCTTGAGTCATTTTAACTGAAGGTTTGGGAAAGCTTCTGAGGGCTTCTCCTAGAAGTGTGAGCATGTTCTGAAACAGAAAGAAAACATGGATTTGTATTCCTGGCATTTCTCATGTCCTTTATCCCAGACCTGCCACTGGCAGCTCCATCCAGCCCCTCAAAAGCAGCTGGGTGGGCAGCACTTCAGCAGCACAAGTTGCAGGGGTTTTAAAGGGTCCTGTTTTAAAGTGTCCTGTTTAAAAATTCATGGCCAGTGATCTGCTCCCTAAAGCAGGTTTCTTCCCTAAGGAGGGAAAAGGAAAAGCAAATGGCCTTTGAGGGAAGCAAGGAGGAAAACAAAAATGAAAAAAGTGAAGCTTCACTTCACACTGAAGTTCTTAAATCTTAGGTATGGAGTGAGTGAGAATCAAAAATCAGGAGAGTGGAACTATTAGGGGAAAAAGGGAATGTGTGGTACAGCACAAACTCCCATCTTGCTCATAAACACGGGAAGAGATCCCAGAGCTTCAGGAAGGGGATTCACTGCTCAGGAACAATTTGACTCCCTTTCAAGAAGGGAGAGAAGAGCTCTTCCTTCAGAGAGATCCAAGGATTTCTCTACCTTTCAGCTCCATTGCCTCCCATCTGCTCCAGAGGCACTTCCTACCCATAAAGCTTCAACCTTGTGACACTGGCACAGACAGAAAAGTTTTTCCAAGAGGAAATCTCAGGGTATCCGGAAGGTCTCAGCCCCCATAACATTTTTCAGGGTCCTATTCCAAGACTCCTACACCAAAGGAAGAGCAAGGAAGACCAGAATGGGCACAGTTACCTACTGTCACATCAATTTATTTACCCTTTTGTCTTGCAAGGCCCATCAAAAAGCAAAAACAAGAGAGACCCAGAACCAATTCTAGGACATCCTGGGAATGACCTTCAGCTTCCATAAATCAGGCAGGCTCAGATGATTTGATCACTATGTTGGTCCTAAAGCATTTTATTAATTGCCAAATTCTATTTTGACTTCACTGCATTCAGGTCACTCTGATCTCACTGCCATCAATCAGGGGGAAATCTGCCTTACAGATCCTTTAGTTGCAGTACCTACAGAATGCTAAAAAAGCATTATTTAACAAAATTTTTTTACAATATTTGCTTACTCTGGAGTAAATTTGTTCTTCCAGTTTCTCTTGGATTAAAGTACCTTCCATCAGAGCCTTTTTTTTCCTGACAAAGGCAATCCTGGCCAGCTCTGCCTCCTTCTTCTGGCAGTCAGGGCATGATGAAGCCTCGTGGATTTGAGCTTCTGTCACCTGGAAGAGGAGACTTTGGTGCAATGAGCAGCGTCTGTCCCAGTGAGATGGCCACTCCTTAAGAATAATCAATAAAAATACAGATAGAGGGACTGTCTAAAGACAAAAACTGGCTTTTTAGGCAAATTCTTTCATAGTCAGCAATAACTCCACCATCTCGACGTGCTTGTCCCTATGCTGGCAGTGTTCACAAGGCCTCCAACGCCAGCCATAGAGGTTGTGATTCTCTTCACAAATTCTAAGAGGCAAATAAACTCTGAAGCAATTAGTTCAAATACGCAGCTCTGAGGCAGAATACAAACAAAATCCTACAGTTCTCTTTAGAAGATAACCAGTTCTACTCAGTAACTCCTGTGTTAGTTCATGAAAACTGAAGAGTATTTAATGGCATTACACGAACCCCAGTGTTTGTGTTTTTGTGAAATATCAATAGTTTTATCTGATTTCATTAACACTGATTCCATCTGGCTACATAAACACAATAAGTTGCTCCAAAAGCAGCGGAATAATCCTGGTAAGTCACATCTCAAGCCTCTCTATCTTCTTCTTCCTTGACTTCTTCTCTGCATAAAAATGTGTGTGGAGGTAAAGACAGAAGCAAACAGAGCAGTTACTTTTCTTAGAAAATATGTATTTTCTAATATAAACCAAATATATTTAGAAAATATGTTTTCTAATATAAGACAAATAAAGAGGAAGTAAAAATTCTACAAAATTTGGAAGGTGAGTTAACATTAATACAGTGAAAAAATGCAGATGGCTGAAATCTCAAAATAATTTAAACAGACAGATTTAAACAGAAATAATTTTCACACCAAAACTGAATTTAAAGTATTACTTTAAATACCTCATAAAGTATTACTTTAATTACTTTTACAGAGGGAGGGGAGGAGCTGTGGCAAAAAGCCCATCCTGTGGTGGGAAAACCCACTGGGCTGGTGAAAAAGAAAAGCACTTGGAATTGGGTAAAGGTGATACAGATGTTTCTTAATCAAGGGACTAAGGTCACCAAGATTTTATTGGACTTGCTTTAATTCTTCAGTATTGCCTAATACCTAAGAAAGCTGGGAGCAGAGGGGTTGCCTTTGGAAAACTTCTAATCCTGGAATCACAAAGACTTCACAGCAAATAATATGCAGAATAATTTGATAAATAACTGGTACCAACATAACCAGCAAACAAGGCTTTTTCTTCTGCTAATCCGGGGCTTATTGGGTGTGCAATAACTGATGATCCCAGCCTGGCTCAGTCACACAAAGCATTACTTTATCAGCTGCCAGTTTTTGATGATGATTTGATTATTTACTAGCAGGAGTGTCTAAGAAAGGAGACAGATCAATGCTGGGGTATCAACCCAGAAGCTCTTTCAGAGGCCTGAGTGAGGCGTCACTAAGCTCTGTTCGATTTGATCCTCATGGCATGGCTTTATTATCCAGTGCTTTAGCCAAAATCTCCCTGGCTTTCACCTGCTTAACAGTCTCTCTGGTGTTTTCCAGGAGGATTCTGTTCATCAGCTGACCAGGAACAATGTAGTTCCCATCTCTTGTCCCAGTTTTCACTGCTGGGACTCCATCCTGCAGCTTCCTTGCCTTGCCCGTGTTTCCCTGTTCAGGGCTCAGCTGCTGGTTCATCCCATTTATCTTCCTGGTGCAAAAAGACCTGAGAGCATCCAGTTCTCCATCAAATAATTCAGGAATTTCTGTCAGGCATAAGTCAATAAAACAAACCCATCAATTACTGTATCAAGGAAAGAGAAGAATTCCTTCCTATATCTATATATCTATATATCTATATATCTATATATCTATATATCTATAGATATTGCTTCCTATATCTATATATCTATATCTACCTATCTATATCTCTCTATATATTCCTTTATAGATATAAAATAAATATATATAAAAATATTAGATATATAAACATTAGCTATGTAATAGATATGAATAATAAAATATTTATTATATAGTATAAAACCAATATAGAATAGCTTATATATTATTTATATTTTTATATCTTTGTTCAATGTATATTTATATATTATTTTATATTAATATATATTTCTATTTATATACATATAATGTTTAAAAAAAAAATCTTTTCCTCTTTCATCTTGTCTTATCCTTCCCTGTGGCATGCAAAAATAAATAAAATCGAGATTATACTTCAGATGGGTGGGTTAGGATGGATTTTTTATCATGATCATGGCTGAGCTTCGTGAACGAATATTTGGGGAGGGCTCTACCCATGTTTGTTACAAGCATGCTAAAAAGGCTAATAAGGCCAGCACGAGATAGGCACGTCCAGAAAGACTCCTTAAGTGGTATAAGGAGATTTTTTATACATATATATATATATTTATATATTATATATATTATATATTATATAATATATTTTAGATATTATATAATATGTTTTATATATTATATTTTTGTATGTTATATATTTTTCTAAATTATATATACATATAAAATAAAAATAAATATAAAATCCGGATAAGAACTGCAGGAACTTGCACAATAAATGTCTCTATGAGTAAGCTCCAAATAGGGGAGCAGAAAAGAACCTGAAAGAATGAGGTTACTAATGATACAGATTAAATATCAGTAGTTAAATACTATGACATTAAGTAACCTGTCTTTCAATAACTGCCTCATAGAGATTTAGCTTCTTCCTACCTGAAACTGCAGGTTGCTAACCCAAAATGAATTAACACTTCAAGAGGGCTCCTCTAAGGAGCAATTCATAACAAAAATTAGTGGCAGTGGCTGTGGAAGTCACTCTGGAAACACCTCAAATAGATCCTACAATCTCAGGCAGGCACTTCTTTTTTTGGAGAAGGGCAATTCCATCAGAAAATACTTTCTCCTAAAGCTTCAACAATTGTTCTTTATAAGATCTTGTTTAAAAAACATCTTCCCCTCTCTCATCTTCTCTTATCCTTCCCAGTGGCATGTGAAAATAAATAAAATCGAGATTATCCTTCAGGTGGGTGGGTTGGGATGGATTTACAACTTTATTCAGTGCTTTGTGGGGGATTTTCCACAGGCTTAAACCACAATCAATACAGTATTTCATGGGCATCGGCATGGAATGATGCTGTGCAGCTGTACATGGCCTGATTACGGAATTTAAACAATCCCTCCATATTGTTTTACTCCTTGTCAGGTTTAAATTTGGTTTTATTTCTCCTAGCCAGGCACTGCAGGTTTCCTGGTGCTTGTCTGACAACCACTGCCATGGGATATTCCAATGCCATGGGACACCTTGGCATAACCACAACACACACTCTTAAAAAAGCAGGAATGGAAAACTTCCCTGCTATGGTTTGAAGCTGGCTCCCTGCCAAGTCTCCAAACCTTACCCCAAGAAGTCCCCCCCCCCCAAACCTCAGGGAGAAGAGCGAGGAAAAGCAACTAAGAAAATCTGAAACGAAAGAGAGACAGCTAAAGTGATATATATAAATATATTTACACTTATATTACAATCATATACAATTGAAATATATACAATTTCACAAGGGAAAGGGAAGGGGGAAGGGAAAAGGAACAAAACCAAAATAAAAGATATATATATATCCCAATTAGTAGCCCAATATCTATCCACTAAAAGAGTTAGCAAAGAAATATCTCACTACTTTCCTTGGGACAACCGAGAGTCGCTCTGGAACAATCGCCGGCAACCTCCACCTCCCAAGGTCGACAAGGCCTTACCAGGCCTCGCTCCCCAACACGGCAGACTCAACAGCAGGGAACCTGCACCTCCAAGCTGCCGGACGGAAAGAGAGCGAAGGCCTCTCCTCCTTTCTTCTTATAGTCTGGCTTACGTAAAAATTGTAGGGAATACTGGGTATATCTGAACCCTTCCTTGGTTAAAAACTGGTCACCAAGGAAGGCCTAGACCAAACTACCACATTCTCCTAAATGAATTTAGTCTTGAGGAGACAAGACAGAGCTGTGGAATTCTGCAAGGGAACTCGGCATCTCTTCAGAAATGCAGCTGATGTTTATAAAGGATAAGGGGATCCATAGTTAAAATGAAGCAAAGCAGGAGTTTTGTTTCATGGACAACATGGAAACTATGTCATTTAAGTACAACTACCAGTTCAGAATCAGACACCGCAGAGCAGTTTACTCCTCCTTAGAAGATGATGTATCTAACTGACTGTAGACAAAGACATGGTGACAATTTAGAGACAGATGAATCAGAATAAGCAATAGCTTAAAATGCAATTTAATGAAAAAAATTTGCTTTGTAGGATCATAAACATTTGAGTGGAAACCATCATTTCAGTCAGCAGGTGACTTTCCTTACTATTGCAATGCGGACAGTGCAAATCATGTGCCAATTCTGGGTTTAATTACACTGAAAAACAGGGGCATGTTAATTTATGCCGTGCAGAGAATTAATTAAAAAAATTTAAAAGTTACCATTATGGGGGGGGAAAACCCAGAACAAAAGCATTTAAGTACTCAAAGCCATAAGTAAAATCCCTGGAGGCTGTGACAATTTAATACCAGCCTAATTAATTCACTTAAGGTTCTCCTGACATACAGAAGTGCATTTTTATTAAGAATTGGTTTCTAATAATGCATGAATTCTGTGCTGCCACACACCCACCCCTTTGCTCATCTGCACCTACAGACATCAGAAAAAACACCAGCAAAGAGAACAGCAAGTTTTAAACCTCCCTGCACGACTCGTTCCTGAAGTTACTTTTTAATATTGATTCCCATTTAAAAGTAATCTCAGAGAGAATAAGAATTATCAAGGACTATAATTTTTCTGAAACAAGAACAAAAAAAAAAAAACTATGAGAAAAGTCAGCACACAGTTAAATTGGGGAAAGTATTGTCTTTTCCCTGCACACTGACTCCAGTTTCCAATTTTCTCCCAGGTGGAGAAGATTTACTTGTCCTTCAGCTCTGCACTGGTTTGTTTTATTTCTGGTATCTCTCACATATTCCCTCCTTTCCATCCCAGATCCTTCTCCATTTGGGGTGGCAGATTTAAATGTCCCTGCCCTGTGCCCACAGAGAATCCCTGCAGTGCCAATTACTGCTCCACAAGAACACTTTCCTACTGCTTGGCTGCCCCAAATCCAGTGCTCCCCACACCTTCTTCACTTTGCAGCAACAGCAGTGAGAAGACAATGGGAAGATCCCCGCAGAATCCATGGCTTTCGGAAGAAACTCCTTCTTTCCCAGTTCCATCAAGGCATTAATGAATGTTTTACAAGCAGGGTTTCCATTTCTGGTTGGAATTTCCACATCCAGACCACATTAATTCTACTTACCTAGAGAATCAGAAGACAGGTCTGGAATCTCAAGGCCTTTTTTATTTTTAACTTAACACAACAATCGCAGTAACAATAATGATTAAATGAGTGATAGTGACTGAAGGAGGGATGATGCAGAAGAGGTGACAGGAGCAGTAGAAGTGCCACCAGGACAGGCATCGAGTCAGAGCCACATCTCACGCAACAGGAAGGTCACGAAACATGGAATATTTAGGAAGTAAAGCCCCACAGTGGCCCAAGAAGCTGCTCTGATGACAAAAAGCCTTGGTGTGTACCACTAGAGATAAATTAATCCATATGTCTAGATCCCAAACCCTGCTGGGAGCTTTGTAACTAAGTGACCTACATAAATTTTGCTTTCTGTGACATTTTAAATCTGTGAGGGGCGGGAGTAAAAGAGGGAAAGTCTTTTCTCAGTTTCCTTTCCCTTTGAAACTAACTTTAATAGGAAAATTGGCAGGCATTTTGTTATTATTATGCTCTGCTGATACTCTATTTTAAGAAGAAAAAAAGGAAAAAGAGATAATTGTGAAAGGCAGCAACTGGTAACTACTCTCAAGAAAGATTTTCCCTCTGCATCTCAAGATCTTCATGATTACCTAAAGTGATTTGTACAACTGAGTGCAGCAGGTCAGGGTAACATGCTGACAGCAAACAGTTTGTGAAAGATCCCTGCAGGCAACACAGAACTGACCTACCAGGTTATTTATCACGAATATGAATTTAAAGCAAATTAAACTCTTCCAGCACAGTGAATCATTGTAGTACCATGGAACGGTTTGGGTTGGGAGGGACATCAAGGATCATCCAGTCCCACCCCCTGCCATGGGCAGAGACACCTTCCACTAGCCCAGGTTGCTCCAACCTGGCCTTGGACACTTGCAGGAATCCAGGGGCAGCCACAGCTTCTCTGGGCAACCTGTGCCAGGGCCTCACCACCCTCACAGCCAGGAATTCCTTCCCAATATCCCATCTAACCCTGCCCAGAGGGCAGTGGGAAGCCATTCCCCCTTGTCCTGTCCTTCCATCCCTTGTCCCCAGTCCCTCTCCAGCTCTCCTGGAGCCCCTTTAGGCCCAGGTCTCCCTGGAGCCTTCTCTTCTCCCAGTGAACACCCCCAGCTCTCATAGCCTGGCTCCAGAGCAGGGTTTCCATTTAGGTGTTGCTGGTTGGAATTTCCACATCCAGCCTACATTAATTCTACTTAACTACAGAATCAGAAGACAAGTCTGGAATCTCAGGGCCTTTTTTACTTTTAGCTTGACAGCACTATCAAAGTAACAATAACGACTGAGTGACTGAACTGTATCTGAGCCACAAACATTTCTTTGCCTCCAAATAACACACATTACCAGCTCAAGCTCTCTCACTTTTGACAGCAATAGTGCAGTGGAAAATAAACAAGCAAAGCATTTAATGTAGACATGTTACAAAGGTGAGATCAAACTTGTGAGCACAGCACCACTCACAGGGTTAAAAAGCCCCCCTTGAATTTTCAGATAGATCCAAGTTGAAGAATTGCAGTTTGCTTGAGTAAATTTTAAAGATGAGTAGTGATCTTTGAAATAATCTATATGGAACTGGGGATTTAGAGTCATGTTGTGATGCATTTTGCCTAATAACTCTGGTGGAAGAGGGACAGAGAAGAGGATAGAAAGAGAACTATGACAAAAATTTCTCCCTTCTCCCAAGGCCAGCATTTAGCTTTTTCTTTTTTCAGCCCACAGAGAAAACTAGGAAAAAATAAGAATCACATTCCAGGACATTTCCATAGGTACACCAGAACTTTTTTTTCCCTCCCTATTAGGAAGATAAGAAAAAAAGGGTTTATTACAAAGAAGACAAATTCAGAAGTACCCTGCATGCTCAGTGCACGCATAATTCACTTTGCTGAGTGTACTGAGGGGACTCACTGTGCAGCAAATCTAGTTCTAGTGAGCTCATCTTCTTATATCTTTTTTTTAAAATCTCCAAGTTGTTAAAATAGTATAAGGCTTGGGAGCTCCTGCACACTGAATGATTAAGTCAAAGAGAAGGAGGCAGTTCTAGATGTCAGTGTGCAAAAGCTGCTGTGCTTTACTTTATTTGTATGTTAATATTCTGCAATAAATGTAGTCCATGGCTAAAGTATCGTTGATACTGATGAATTTGGGGGTAACATGGAAAAGCATGAAGCATATTTTGTGCTCTTCATATTGATGGTGGTTGGGAGCACTGGTGTAACAATGACAAGGGACAGCACAGGCAGAAGACAACACATGCCTTCATAAATCAGCACTAGAGAATGGAACAGAACTGCTCAAGGCCTCTCCTTACCCATCAACATCCATACACCAAAGGCAGAACATTCTCTTGTGCAGAACTAAAAAAATCTGTAAGTCATCCCATGAGTAAAATCTTCCAAGTGCAACTTTCAAGGGAAAGTAGAGATGGAAAACATCCTCAACCTCAAACTGTGGTTTCTCACTCAGTGACTCTGGAACTCCTCGGTTCCCTTTTAATTTCTCCATGAATCAGCCACAGGATTCTGAGGTATTTTAGGAATATCATCTCTGAGGAGCTAGCCAGGAGAAGCCTCTCTGCTACAGATGAGCTGCTCTACTAAAAGCCTGCTTGGTAGCCTTGAGAAAGCAGGAACACAAGGATAAATGCAGAAGATGAGTCAGGAACTCATAGCTTTGACTCACCACTGCTCAACAATTAAGAACAGCCTAGAAATGACCTTAGCTCCTGTTTTTCTAGGATGGTTTGAGGATGTTTGTGCCACAAAGTGCCTAGGCAGGAGGATCTCCTGGTTAATCAGTCTTACAAGTGACCTACAAAACTCCTGATCTTGTTCACTTCCCATGAACACACAGACTGAGGAAGATTCCCTGTCTGCTCCCACTAATTTTTTGCTCAATTCCAGCTTTCTTGCTCTTTTTTTTTTTTTTTTTAAATTAAAAATAGCATCTCTGACACACTTTTGAGAGAGACTTTAGCAGGACTTGCATCCCACCATCTGCTCTCACAGTTGCTTGTGTAACCAGTACATGGAAACGTATCCTCTTCCTTCCTTCCTTCCCCTCTCCTCCTCCTCCACACTCTCCATCATTGTGGTGGTTAAAGCTGCTCCATTGTTCTTGCCAAAATTGGTGCCCTGCTGCCTCCCTCAGTTTGGGAAAGGAATTAAAACAGGGCAAACAGGTAATTCAATAATCCATAAAGTTGATTAACAGGGTGTCCTAGTTAGAGCAGCTGGGACTAGTTCATCACTGTGTGGGTGTAACCCAAACTGTGTATTCTGCACCCTCCATGTCATTTCCCGGGAACCGTTAACAATAGACCATTTGCAGCAGCTGCCCAGAGCACACCTGACCCCTCAGGCTATAAGCTGAGTGCCAGGAAGCCTGTGAGATAGGAGGATGTTCCTGTCCTCACACCAATGACTCAGGTGTGATAACTCCCCTCTGGGGAGTCTTTAGCACCTCCACACCCAGCCTGAGGGGTCATGTCTGCTAATGGGCCGCCAAGGATTCCAAAAATGTCTCATCACTCACGGTCACCCACTGTGGAACTCCCCGCTCTGGGGGAGGTACTGGGCATTCCCACTGGAACCTGAGTGTATATAATTTTGGGGTCTTGGGACTTCTGGTACCACTCATCGGATCCAGAGGAGGACCAGAACTTCGAGCAGACTGCAACCACCATTCTCAACCAGACTGTGATCACCACTCTCACCAACAAGTTCTCCTTTCCTTTTCCTTTGGACTCAGGGGACCAGGTGGAGCTCAGCACAGGGGCCAATGAACACCACTCTGTTCATGCCCCAGGGTGCTGAGTTATACATCTGGGTTTTGTGGGTTAAAACCAATTGTTTGTCTGTATGATTGTATTTATTGCATTATTTTTTTTAAATTGTAACTCTGACTTATAATCTCTCTTGAGCTGGGTTCATTTCTCCTGCCAGTTTACTTTTAAACCAGCACACAGGGGAAAAACATCTCACACAATAAATTCCAAAGTCACGTTTATTTTGGAGGGAAAAACTCCACACTTTAATACCTGTACTGGTACTGGAGTTCTAATACCTGTACTGGTACTGGAGTTCTAATACCTGTACTGGTACTGGAGCTGAAAGAGGAAGCTGGAGAGAAAAAAAATCTTAACAATCCAGTAAAAATTGAGGATTACAGTTAAATTTAAAATGTGGATACATTTTTTTAATGTGTTTATCCAGATTCTGTGATAATGCATCACTAGGATAATGTCACTATATCAGGAGCATCAAAGCCATGTGTGTATGGGAGAAAAACTGTTTGGTAAGAAAGCCTAAAAGAGAAACTTTGTATTTAATTACCTGGCTAATTATCCAGCTTAACAGCCTGCATATAAAATTTAAGTCTAGTTAAAAGTTTACATCCCCTCTCAAAAGAAATTATTACAACCTCTACTGAAATAACTGAACTCACCACCATGAGTTTTCCTGACAGAGTTGTCCTGTTTAACCTCAGCTTCTTTATTTTTTAGATCTCTCCATCTTCCCATGGCAACAATCCATTTTCCTATGGCAACTCTTTCCAGAGCTGCAGAATCCACTCCTTCAGATTGCTCCTCTGCAATGAAAAAAGGCAACTTTGAACATACCTTGTGAGGAAAGCAGGACTGCAGAAAAGCAAACAATGCTCCACTTGAACGTGCCAGTTTGCCCTGGTGAGGGAAAAGAAACCCCAAGCCACAGGAATACACAGATGAGACCAGGGATTTCAGCTAAACAAGCTTCTGTCCCATAAAATACCTTCCACTACTCATTCCTAATCACCCCACTGAACCAGGATTCACTGAGAAAATGGGAGCCTGTTCACACGTTCAATTTGATCTGTAATGTCGCACTAATCTCATCTCCCTCCTCCCTCCTTCAGCCCCATCAGTTATTTCCAGCTCTTTCTTTTGTGGCCACACACTCTTAGGAGCTCAGCTGAACTGTCTCAGGGTATTGATCCAAGTGGAAAATAAGGTGGCACAAGGGAAATAAAAATTCTGTATCAGCTCCCTGTTCTCCAGCTTGTTCCAGTTGGACTCGATGATCCTTGTGGGTCTCTTCCAACCCAGAATATTCTGTGATTCTGGGAACTCCAGTTCTGCAGGAACTAAGGAAACCACAAAGATGTGAAAGCAAAGAGATGGGAAAGGACAAAACACTTGGAAGGTCTGAGAAGTCCCTCCCAGTGACAGCAAGGTGCACATGGCATGGCCCCAATTCAAAACAGGGAGCATCTCCTTTCTCTGCTCTGTTTTCAGGGTTCTGACAGCAAATTGCATGGGCTTAGACAAGGAAATAACGTGTCCCTGTGGGAGCAGCAGCATGACAGGCTTTCTCTGGGTTTTATTATTTATATATGCTGCTCTCAGGAAAATATATAAAACAGAAAGCAATCAATTCCCCCAAAAAAATTCTTTGTGAATTATTCCCCAGTTTCTCATTTAACTGAGAGCATTCAGAAGACTCTATGATTTTATGAAATATTAATCTTGTAAAGATAAAAAGTGGTAACACTTACTAAAGAAACCTCTATGCACACAGTAAGGATTGCTCCTAGCATGTGTTCCTTGATGTCAGAAATAAGGATTTCAATTGTTAGACATGGAATAATTTAAAGAATCTTGTTATATTTCCCGGAAAAAAAAAATAGGGATTAAAACATATCATTTGTAAAACTACAAAAATTTTAAGCAAAAAACACAAATCAGACACTGTTCAATTTTAGGGATGTATCATGAATTCATACCAAGACAATGATCACCTCTTTATTCAGATTTTTGAAGCACTGATCTCCAATGCTGAATTCTGTGCTACAATAAACAGGGTTTACATTCATGGATATGTATTCGACAGCAAAGTTTGGCCTCCATGGGTGGCATTTCAGGCTTAAACAGTATTTTTAAGGATTCCTAATGATAATGGTGACAGTTCTTACTGTAGAGTGAAAGAAACCTCAAGTAAAATGTTGGATGGATGAGGGATAGGAAGAACATCTCTACTGGACTTGTCTATAGTAGGAAAAGAAACAGCTTCCCAATATGAAACCATAGTAACTATATTTAACATTATCTGTTATATAATATATAATTACAATATATAAAATATATATAATTACAATATATAATTAACATTATATATTGGTATATGTCAGCTGACCAAGCTGAACTGAATAGTATCAGATCACAAAACTAACAGCCAACAGACATTAAAATAAATCTTGTTTACACTACCTTTAAAAATACATTAAAAGTGTTGTAGCTAATCTTTGAAGCTATAAAGTTTTATATATGCTGCAAGCTCCCAAACTAAATTAAAAGATTATTCGTCTCTTTAAGTATCCACAATATTTACCACACCAAACTTGGAGAAAAGGAGAACACAAGAGAATGACAGAGAACCCTGCAGAGAGAAAAGAAAACCTAACGGAGCTGATTTATCCCTCATTTAATGCAGCTTCTTCATTGCCCAGAGAAGCTGAGGCTGCCCCATCCCTGGAAGTGCTCAGGGCCAGGTTGGATAGGGAATCCAGCCTTCCTCAGTATTTCAAATCTAGGAACTTTCCCTTGGAAAACTTATTTTATGGCCCAGCTACTTTTCAGATGTGGTAACTCAGTCAAGACAACTTGTGGAATATTTTTTTTTAAGATGCCAACAGAATTTCAGCATCACAAGATTACAAAGGAAGGGCTTCCATGGCCAAATCGTTCCACATGGAGCTGTTGGCGAATCCTGGGAGCACAGATCTGGTCATCGCACTGAGGGTCTGTTCCTCTGCACAGCAGGAACACTGTGTGCAATCTTCACATGTTTATTTTTGCTGATTCAAGTCCCCAGAGCACTGATCGGAAGCTGAGAAAGGAGGTCTCTGTGAGGGAAAGCTCTGCATACCTGCATGACTTTGGCCTGCCAACCATGATGTGCTTTCCAACACATCTGAGCCCTCCAAATCCTCTGTGGGACAGCAGGAGCCAGATGGTTTGATCTCCTCCTCCTCACTGAAGGACTCAAAGGTATCTTCTGAATAGTCCAAAGTAGAGCTGTTGTAACTCTGGTTCAACTCCATCCACCCCTTTTTGTGGCTCCCAGAGCTGTCTGAAGGGACAGTCCCCACGGGGCAACGCTGCAAGAAAAAAACAACAGCAAACAAGTTGAATTTCACAGGGAGAGGGACAGGGTTACTTACAGCACAGGGGACGTATGGAGGGCTGTCACAGCTCAGTTCACACCTCGTTTAGCTCCCACAACAGGGGGATAAAATAACAAATCAGCCACTGGATCAAGGCAACACCTTCAAAGCTCAAGTTCAGATCCACAGGGTAAGTGCACAGTAACAATCAGCACCGAGCATTAGCCAGGAATCCTGAGCAGCATTCCTTTCAAACCTGCAGTGAATTACAGGAACACTTGGACAAAATCATTCCTCTTGAAAAAAAAAAATTAAATGGTAAATTTTTGCTTTCAGATTTTGTGGCCTCTCACCACTCCAAAATACAAAACCTCCTTTTTCTGCCTAGATTTCTTCTAGAAAATGAAAAAGAAAACACAACCAGCATGAGCCAGCTGGTGCTCTCAAATGAAGAGTCAAGCTCCTAAAGCAAAAAAGAGATAAAGTTCTCCAGATACAAGCTCCAGTCACAAAACAGGCAGAAACCTATCATGCAACAGATTTATTTTAAAGCTTTGTTCTTACTTTATCCTTTTTAAAAATCAGAATAATACCCCTTCTTCCTGTGAACTTAAGGACCTATATAACTTTGTCCTAAATAATTTTTCTCCAATTTTTTCCCTACTCCCATTAAGTAAGGAGAGTAAATATGTGGGCAACACCCCTCTGGAAAGATGCTGGCAGCAGTCACAGCTCCTCCACCAGAGAGATGGGAACCCAGTGTGATAATAGTAGGTAGAAAAAGGCACTTTCTGTCCTGTGCTCAGGGTTTAGGCAGCTTTGGTTTAAAGGTGTTGACTTTGGCCGTTTCCCTACTGAACACGTTCTGCTGCCTGTTTCGCCCGCCCCATTACTGCCAAAATCTTTCTGCACACTCTGTAAAGACTTTGTACCCCTAAAACAAATTCAGCCCTTCCCTCCCAAGGCTAGATGTCCAAAACTCAGCTGTAGTCCCAAATCTATAAGTCCAGAGGTTTCCTTTTTGTTTTAACACGGTGCCAAAACCAAAAAGAATTGTTCTGATTTGAACTGGAGATATTAATGAACACTAAGGAGTTCTTTTGTTCCTCACAATACCACTGAGTCAGTGGTTATTAAGGTCTGGTGTGCTAAAGAAAACAATAGGAATTGCAAACACAGTGAATTAGTTCTCCAGCCCCCAGCTGACCCAGGTGGTAGCTGCACAAGCAGCATGGGGAGGGTTAAGGAACAAGAAAATTAATTTTGGCACGTCATAAGACTGGCTGAGTGAGAAATGTTTCATAATACGTGATGCAACTGATATTCGCTCATTTCCACAGTGAAAGCAGCTGTTTGTCAAAATAGCAGCAGATAACTGTAATAAACTGTAAGTATACTTATAAATAGCACATAAAACTGTTTACAGAACATTTTAAACAGTTTTACAATTGTAAAGTTCGATCTGCTGTAATCACTGTGTAACCTGCTCTGTGGAAGGTGCCCCTGCCCATGGCAGGGGCGTTGGAAGGGACCTTAAAGCTCATCCAGTCCCATCCCTGCCATGGGCAGGGACACCTCCCACTAGCCCAGGTTGCTCCAAGCCCTGTCCAGCCTGGCCTTGGCTGGGATGGGGATGGGGCAGCCACATCTGGGCAGCCTGTGCCAGAGTCTCCTCACCGTCACAGGGAGGAATTCCTTCCCAATATCCCATCTAACCCTGCCCAGAGGGCAGTGAGAAGCCATTCCCCCTCGTCCTGTCCCCCCATCCCTTGTCCCAAGTCCCTCTCCAGCTCTCCTGGAGCCCATTCAGGCCCTGGAAGGGGCTCTCAGGTCTCCCTGGAGAGCCCTTTTCTCCCGGTGAACACTCCCAGCTCTCCCAGCCTGGCTCCAGAGCAAAGCGGCTCCAGCCCTCGGAGCAGCTCCGTGGCCTCCTCTGGATTTGCTCCAGCAGCTCCGTGTCCGATAACTCCTTATCTGTGTTCCCCCCGCTCCCCCTCATTCCTCTCGGGCCCTCACGGGCTCTGGGAGCTGCTCTACCCCCCTCACCCCCTCCGGGACGGCTCCTTACCCAGCCCGGCTCCCCCGGCCGGGAAGCAGCGGGGCGGGGATGGGGCGGGGATGGGGCGGGCACGGGGCGGGGATGGGGCGGGCACGGG